TCCATAGATCGTATCATCGTTAAACAACTGGATAAACAAGAATTTGGTTGTTCGTGCAATTTTAACCACTTCCATGATTATGTTCCTTGCAGGTTCATCCCATCTCCACATTCTCCGGATTTAACTGGACTAATTTAACCGGAACAGGACGTCATATTCTGGTCATCCGATTTTTGTAAGTTCAACTAATTATTAATCATTCTATTTTTATTTTCACCTAGAACAAGTGCATTGTGTTCCCTAATGTTTTTCTTAGAGTGCATTCTATTCCACGCAGACTAAAAGCGATTTAACTAAATTGAACGGAAATGTGTTTAGTAGGAAAAATGAAATGCCGCCTAATCAATATGTGTTTAGTTGTGCAAAACTTGTAGCCTTTTCCATGCTTGGATATTTAGACGGGCCTTCATCAATGTTTGTGCGGGCTCCAGCATATTTTCCATTTTTCGGAGTTTTGCTGGTCTAGCCATTGTGGTTCCCTGAAGTCTTGAGGTCAGTCCGGCCAAAGTCTGCCCCAGGTTGTCACCACCACAGACAGTCGCCGTTCTAGGGAATCAGAGGGAGATTTGCCACCACGCGACTAGTTTGATACCAGGACGGTGACGGCTGCTGGTATTGATTTACTCTCAGTTGGGCTTCCTGATGGAAATGCCGGACTCAGCTTGGGAGGCTCTGTGGGGGAGTTCATCCCTCCGCTGTACATCGCAGCCCGACACCCAGGAACACCTCCTAGTCACGACAAGGCACTTTTCTATGCTCCGTTGGGAGGCTTTTCTATGCTAAGTTTAGTTTTTAAAGAAATATACTGAGAAGTCTGTGTGAAATATCCTTCTTCTCTGTTGAATGCAACTGAAGACCATCTGTCATCTTATGAGCCTTTGGCTATTGAAATCTGAGGCACTCAGCGAACTCAATAGTTCTCATTCATAAAAATTTATGCCCTTATGCTCAAAATATTTAACTACAAATCCTCCTAATCGAGCTAAACATCAAGAAGACGCCAAATACATGAATTTTTATTCCGTTATCGTGAGGACGACTTACGTGCGAAGAAGGAATAAAAAGAGCGATGGTAAAATCTCCACTCTTTCGTTTTACTCAGGAGGATATCGTACTTCCTTAGTATTCGTACAACCAACAATGGTGGTTGAATTCCTTCACATTGACAAATTACTGTTTGGAGAAAATGTGGTTTATCCATGAGGTTTAATGCTGTTCCAGGTTCTTCTGTTGTCAGTTTCAATATTCCTCCCATTCCGGGTCTATCCACAATATCCCACTCGTATTTAGTGGTTATTCCAACCGATTATAAGCAGTTTTCCGTCAGATGCGAACGTTCTGGTCTTTTGGAAAAGAAAAACTTTCTCGTTTTTGAAGATGACAGGACCGTACGAGAGGCTTTGTCCTATCGTTTTATGGGTATGAATGATACGTATGCTACTATATGTGTGGTCCATCATGCAAACATACTGCTTTCTGGATTTGGAAGTATTTGCCAGATTAGGCCGAGTCTATTTCGGCACTTTTTATGCCACATTCCATAAAATAACCATGATTCATCATAGAGGTTGTTAAGTAACAGTTAGTTGTTGGTCAACTTACCAGGCATCGAACATTTTTGAGAAAAAGTTTTGTAAGTCATTAACTGCAGGAAATGACTTTTCTGGTCTCACCGCTATTTTGATCTGCTTTCGATTACCTATCGATTGAGTATACATAGTCCAGTAAGAAAACTCTGAAACCCAATAAACTCACTATGGAGACTACAGTGTCCATAGGGAGCGTTGCGGGTTAATGGGTACTGGAACTGCGCTGAGATGGTCATGTACTCGATTTCGAGCCATGACCTCAGCAAATAATGCAGCTGGCAGTTGTTTTGATTTGAATGGTATGCTGTGTCAATTATACGATGAAGCTTTTTCTCGAATTTGTTAGTATAAGGGATAAAAGGATAAAGTTCTCGGTGTTGATCAATCCCTGAGGGATGCGCAATCCATTCGATCTCAATAGGCATCGTTGGAAGTGACTGAATGCATATCTGATCTTTACAATGACTCACGGTGGCCGACCGATGTATCGGGCGGTGCTGCTATTCACGCAGACAAGTTTGGTATCAATTTGCCGACCCCGCAGCGATGGAAGGCTTGGTGGGCCATGGCCGCAGGGATCGATCCCGCGTGTGTGTTGTAGGGCGCCTTCGACCACTGCGCTACACGCGCCCTTTTGTTGATATGGCAACGATGATATCCCTACAATTATTCTCAGCGTCAGCTCCAAATTACGATATGCGTGAAGAAGACAACGGCCTCATAATAGCTCAAGAGACCAACTTCCTATAAACCTCAGCATAAATAATCGATATATTTACATGTTCTTGGGACTTCCAGTCGTAACAGCACGGGAGGTGAAATCGCCGGAACGTCAGCCATCGACTAACCATAGCAGCAACAACAACTATACCAACCTCGCTTCAGCGCAATAAGATCAGTTTATAGGAATAAAAGCCTCAGGTGGCAGTCCAATCTATCCATACAGATTATTTGAGGCGGTTAGTTTCAAATAAGACCCATACAGACCATGGGGATGTACCGCTAAATGGTGAACGGTGTAACCATGCAAAAGCAGCCACTGCAGTCAACCAGCAGTGCGTTCCAGTAGTGTTCCAGCCTTCCGTATTGTAGCGGGGTTGTTGGTTTAGACAGACGAGGGTTGTGGCTGTTGTGTCGCCCGTCCTGATAAGGAAGCATATTTCCATTTTCGTCGAAAAGTTTACTTTTACTACGTATGGGATAGCCGTTACTACTCCAGTAAAGGGCAGACGGTTCACCGTTGTAAAGTCGTTTTTACCAATTCATACCCCAATCGATGGAGTGCAGTGACGCAGTTAAGCCCATAGTTTCGTCAATAAACACATATGAGATAAATAGCCTAGTGTTGTAAACTCGGATCCTTTTTCCGTAATGTCACTTGATTGCTCCCAACGGCTTTCCGCCTCTTCGTGGCTGGGGGGTGTTCCTGGGTGCCGGACTGCGATGTACAGCGGGGGATTCATTCCCTGGCAGGGTCTCTCAAGCTGTGAAAGAGTCCGGTGTTTCTATCAGGAAACCTAGCTAAAAGTACACCAATACCAGGATCCACCACCGTCCTGGTATCATAGTTGCCTGGTGGCAAATCTCCCTCTGATCCACAAAAGCTGTGACTGCCTGTGGTGGTGAAGAGAGGCAGACTTTGGCCATGCTGACCTCGGGATTTCAGGGAAGCAAAATGGTTTGACCAGAAAATCTCCAAAAAATGGAGGTTATGCTGGAGCCCGCACAACCAGTGAGGACGGGTTATTCAACTATCACGTAAGTATCAAGTCACTTGATTATCTAGAACGCACTTTCACGAATCCTCTGAACGTATTTTCAGCGGCGGTCGGAATACTGGAGATTTTTTTATGGGTTTATTTATCAAGCTGCCTAGAAAAGCATTTTGTGGGTATCGGACGAAGCGATCCATTTTAAAGTGAAACGAAAAAACATAAATGACAATGTCATCACTTATTTACTGCATATTCTTTTTTAATGGTAGAGTAGTATGTGAAATATAACCACAGTGATGCTGAGGTGTTTGTAAAAATCCGGACTCTCATGGTGTGATGGTGAACCCCGCGTATAGGGTAATGGCGGGTTCGATCCCTAACGCAGACATCAATGGTCCGGAGTTTTGCAAATATCTCAGCATCATTGTGGCTACAAGTGACAGTAATAGTAATAATAATAACAGTGGTGATATTAACAGTACAAAACACTAGTTAATGCAAAGTACGGGAACAAAGTCTGGAAACAAAGCTGCGAAGCTCGGAATGAGGAAGCCGACGCTGTTTCCTTAGTTGATTAGGTCAGATGAAATAGACACTGGAGCAACACCTGAAGGAGCCCATATGTTCCCAAAGTGCTCTCTGTGGCTCTCCAGGACTTCGAAAGAACCAAAGCGTCTTTGTTCGAACTCCATTTTCGAGACATCTGGTAATTTGAGTGATACGAACGTGCTCAGTGAATGACAACAGTGACTCACAGTCCACGAGCCAACTATCGAAAGCGCGCTACGTGGCCTCGGCCCAACTCTTGACACAGATTGATTTCATTCGGGAATTCCAGTTTCATTTTAGGTCAGTGGCTGTCTGAAAAACAAGTTGCTAGCAATTCGTCGTTGTAATCACTTTTCATTTTTTTTCGTGGCGCGAAGGTTTTACAACTGTCACATTTTCATGTAACAATGGCTAGCTGTCCTCTGTTGCTTAATGTTGCTTTTATTGATTTTTGTTATCAGGTCCCATCAAATGTTCCTATAAATACGTAAACATTCTCTGTTTCAGTATGAGAATCAACCCAGTACGCTTATTGAAAGGCTGCCACGTACAACATTTTCACTCAAGGATGTCGTCAGAAAAAGTAAGATCTCCTAGTTTTTTCTTCCAAAGACAACTCGTGGATTAGTTATTCAAAGACATGGTGTGTTTTGATTACTTGTATTTTGACGTGGACCCCGACCATACTATGTGTATACTTGGATTCTTGGATGGGCCGTCCTCACTGGTTGTGCGGGCTCCAGCATAATTTCCACTTTTTCGGAGTTTTGTTGGTTTAGCCATTGCTTTTTCCTGGAGTCCCTATGTCAACCTAGCCAAAGTCTGCCCCAGGTCGTCACCACCATAGGCAGTCACCGCCCTTGTGGACCAGAGGGAGATTTGCTACCATGTGACTAGTTTGATACTAGGACACTGTTGGATCCTAGCATTGGTTTACTCTAAGCTGGACTGCCTAATGGAAACACCGGACTCCTTCTGAGCATGGGAGACACAGCTGGGGAATCCCTCCGCTCTACATTGCAGGCCGATACCCAGGAACACCTCCCATCCACGATAAGGCGGTAAACCGTTGGGAGGACTATATGACATAGTACCAAGAATTTTGCAGGTGCTGGGCATTAAAAATCTAAATCCGAATGTGATCACCATGCAGTATGCCGTTAGAGGTCCAATTGTAATTCGAGCAGTGGAGATCGAAAAAGAGCTGGAAAAGGTGATGTTTCCAGATGGTAGCTTTTTGAGATCCGTTTTTTCCTCGGTGCAATTCTTACCTATGTCAGGGAGTGAGCAAGCCTTTCAAGAACGTTATCAAAGCCAACATCGGTGACGCGCATGCGATGGGTCAGAAGCCCATCACATTTATAAGACAGGTAAACAGAGCTAGCATTGCGAATTTTCATCAAGCGTCAGCAACAGTTTTCAATGGGTTATGAATTTCTTCGTCTTAGATCAATAAACTAGTGGAATTTCCGATTGTGAGCGGTGAAGTACTAAATTGTCCTGTTAATTTTTTCTACTGCCTATTACAATCTTTCGCGGCAGGGTATTGTTATGAAATTCAACCGCGCTGATGCTGAGACATTTGCAAAACTCCGGACCGCAAGTGTCTACGGTTGGGAGCGAGCGCGTTATTACTCTTTCCGGGGACTAACGCGTTTACTACCACACAATGCGGTTCCCTCGTTTCGCCTCTACTTTTCTATCTACCCGTGCCATTGGGCAATCACCAGTAAACGGGATTGATCTGGGTAACGCAAGTCGTCATTGAACCCAGTTAACTAACTTATCCGTCGAGTTACATTCGCGACTTGTCCAGACCGATTTCACTTTCGACTCACAACATATGTGTGGCATAAATGTGATGGTACATCTTTGTGAAAGCACCCGTAAGCAGTAGTTCTTCTATAGCAGTAATCCTTACCAGTTAACAATGTTTTACGAGAATTACTATAACTATTTCCAGGTGCTAGCCTGCGTGTGCAATCCGTTACTAACAGAGTGTGGAGGATTCCCTTCTGATGTGGTGGAACATGCTAAAGTGAGAGCGCTATGTTTAGTCTTATCTTGAAAATCAATTGTAAAAAGTAGGTTGACACAGTAGTACTACGTGTCGATAGAAATAAAACAGTGCTTCTTTCTTTTGACTAATCTGTTCACCTGTCCTTGAGAGCCGTTTGAAAGATTTAGTCTCCATTTGGGGATTATTAGCATAACCGTCACAACAGTGTAGATCTCTCATGTTGTACTGTAGAAAAGAATATTATTGACGGTATTTTCTATCCCTCGTTGGGGTCCGAAATACAGTGATATGTAAGGTAACAGGCATCAGCACAAAAGAATGCGTTAGTTCAGCATTGTGGTCCCCAAAGGACCCTACCTGGACCGAGGTCGAGCATTCCGTGACAGGCATTATTGATGCTAGTTTATAAGTATGGTAATTATGCATGAGCTTACTTTTGCGTTTGAAGTGAAGTCGTAATTTGTTCCGCAACTGATTTTTTACTAGTGCAAAATACTGCGATTTAATTGGGTTGAAGTGACCACGTAGTGTGAAGATGTAGGGTTTTTGCTCATCAACGCAAGGAAGTTTCGGAGTGTTCTTGTGCTCTAGACCATTCTTCGTGGATGTGGAGGCCATAGTGCTGGTGCGTACAGTCAGAGCACCGGTATTGACGTGATCCGCCGACATGTTGCCGAGTATATCGAGGTCCATTTACTTTCACATCTCAATATGTTATCCAATTTTCATTTGTACTGTATGTTTTTCTCAACCTACTGGTGTTCAGAAACGTGATGGATTTCCCTGTGACCCTGAAAATGTAATTCTTTCTGGTGGAGCTTCTGAATCAATTCGCAATGTGTTAAAGATGTTTATACGACGTGATGTTAACAAGAAAACTGGTGTAATGATCCCGATACCTCAGTACCCATTGTATTCAGCAACAGTTGAGGAATTCAACCTTGGACAGGTTTGTGAATTTCTTATAGTTCCGTGGTTGCATGAAGTACTGTTGGTTCTCTTGATGCAACTAAAGATCTTAAAGGTTGTTGTAAAAAATGTAATACTTGGATTCGTTCGCAGGTAGGCTATTATCTTCATGAAGAGAAGAACTGGAGCCTTGAGGAAGAAGAACTGGAGAGATCGTATAAAGAAAGCCTTAAGCAGTATGATACTAAAGTGCTCTGTGTTATCAACCCCGGAAACCCTACTGGACAGGTGAAGTTTTGTTTACTTCTATAGTTCTTTAATTGTTTTTCTAAAAATCTAGTTGTCTGTTTGCCTAGTCGCACTGTTGGTACCGTATCACTTACCTAAAGTTTAAAAAAGAACTGCCTTGTGATACAATACATTTCGTTTCCTGTCAAATAGTGAAGTAGTGCTGGAATAGTGCTCGTGGCATTGTGGTCGGAGGCGGCCCGCAGTACACATGGGATCGATTCCCGTGCCCCTCGTTCATCGAGCCTTCTCTCCCTCCGGTGTCGACATATTGTTACCAAACCTCTTTGGGAGAATAGCAGCGCTGGCTCGATAAATAGACAGATCATTGGGAGTTATTGTAAAAACCAGATATGCATTCAATCACCTCCAGCGTTACTACATAAAGTCGAATGCTTGACGCATTCCTCACGGTTAGATCTAGACCGAGAGCTTTTTTTTTGTGCTAGAATGTACCTTCTATATTTGCAACAATGAGTTAAGCCCTATTACAGGTGCTCACTCGTGAGAATATTGAAACTATCATAAAATTCGCCCATCGTCATAAACTTTTCCTCATGGCTGATGAGGTTTATCAGGTTAGGAGTAAAACTGCTTATTATTCTTCGAGTATTCTAAAGCTTTTTTTTCCTAGGACAATATCTATGCAGAGGGATCGAAATTTCATTCCTTCAAGAAGGTCATTAATGAGATGGGAGCGCCCTACAACAAGTTAGACCTTTTCCTAGTTTAGTACGTTGTACGAAGCACATCTAGTTGAGATTTTTATCTACTTGTGGTCATGTCAGTATTTTCTAGAATGGAATTGGCCTCATTTCATTCAGTATCAAAGGGTTATATGGGTGAGTGTGGAATGCGTGGTGGTTATGTAGAGTTCTTCAACCTGGATCCGCAAGTGTTCGTGATGTTCAAGAAGATGATTTCCGCAAAACTGTGTTCTACCATTCTTGGCCAGGTGATTTCTATATTCCTAAGTTCTTTATAATTGAAATCCAAATGCCTTGCTTAGTTATGTCCACATCACTTCTCTAATCGCTTTGTAAGTTTCAGCTTGTCATGTTACATGTTATGTCATGCAATTTTTACAAAACAAACGTACTGGTCAGCTGTTACAGTAGTAAATTGTAGATTATGTTTAAGATGTTGGGCTGAGTAGTAACAACGTCTTCCCCTCTGGGTGTTATCTTGACATTTTATGCGTAATGCAAAGCGATCAATACCGCTATGACTGTATTCCTTGTTCAATTACTTGGATACTTAGATGGCCAGTCTTCACTGGGTGCGGACCCCAGAGTAATCTCCATTTGTTGGGAGTTTTGTTGGTTTAGCCACCGCGGTTCCCTGGCATCCCAATGTCAGCCTGGCTAAGGTCTACCCCGGATCGTCAACACCACAGGCAGTCGCCGCTGTTGTGGATTAGCGGGAGATTTACGACCATGCGACTAATTTGGTGACGAATTTTGGTATTAGTTTACTCTTAGCTGGGCTTCTTGATGGAAACGCCGGATTCTCAACTTAGAAACCCTGCCAGGTGGATGAATCCACCCGCTGCTGTTCATCGCTTCCCGACACCCAGGAACACCTAGCCACAATGAGGCGAGAAACTGTTGGAATGAGCTTAATTATTAAATATCAGTTAGTACTGTAATGTGTTTTGGTGTAAAAACGATCCAAGAACAAGTGCATTTGGTTAACAGCGCTTGAGTTATGACTAAACATCACGTTTAAGAACATTCTGCTACGGACTTCCCATACTTTTCGTTCATAATTTTCGAACACTAATTTGATTACTTTCTAGGAACAATTTCTCATTAAATTCAGCATTAGCTATTGATTTTCTTACCTTTTAAAGAGCCATTTTTAGATTTGCTGAGCGTAGATTAAGCGAAGATGGCTACGTGTTGGGTTTAAAATTTCATGTGCTTCTCAGTAGTGACTTAAGCTTCGTCACCGAACTAACCGGTCTCACCAAATGACCACTTTATAAGTTGTCTATGTAGCAGATTTAATGCAAATGTCACGTCCACACGTCTTCCTCAATGGGTAATCGCAGGAGAGTCATTCAGGATGTGACAGATCAGTTTTTCCGCGGCAGATAGGTTAATCAAGAACCGAAAGCGATATCATTATAATACCTATTATTAAATTCAGGCGAATTCAGGTGATGGGTTGCTTATCGCTGCTGTTCCAAGTTGACACATCCCTTCTTTATGGTCATCTTCATGGTACATGTCGATTCGGCCAAGAGATTGCAATTAAGTAACTAGAAAGTACACGGGAGGGAATTCGCAATCGTCAACAGTAAATAAGCCCTATGCCTACTTTGTGAGAGAATGACAAGCACTGGGAGTATCAGTTGCGAAACAGAATAAATAGGCCTTATTGGTCTAACAGGCGGAACCCCTAAGTACGGAAGAATGCGAAAATCTGTGAACTCTTCTTAGCTACTTGAATTTGGAAGGACTAAGATGGCGATAGGTACTAGCAACACAGCGTTTCGATCAAGGTCGTACTATCGCTTCCCTAACGCTAATCTCTCACAGGGTTTCGATCAAGATCGCAATATCGCTTCCTTAACGCCAGTCTCTATTTTTCATATGAAAGTAAAACTCCAAAATTAAGGAACGAGGTTCCAAAATGTCGAAATTGCAGTTTGTTCAGATCACTGGGTGGATTTTAAGGAGATGTCGTTATTGACAACATCGACGTAATATGCGATCGGCATATTCAACGCTTTTACGTTAGTGCTAAAAAAGTGGAGAGATCAGTTGACATTACTAAGAAAACTGGATTCCGACTTCTAGATGGAAAAGGTACCATATCCGAAAGGGTTGTAGAGAAGCTCATCCGTGAATTCTACTCTGATCTATAACAGACACGATCCTCCACATAAGGTCAGAGATAACGGATACTTTGCTCTAACAGACGTCTCTACTAAAGTTAAATATGATCTTTCGTGGATAAAGAATAGCGCAACACTTCTGCACGAACGTCTATGGACTTAACGTCAGTCTTCATCAGAAGGTCTTCCCACCTGTTTTCAGCTCAAATCCATACTTTTATGTCAGTTCAGTTAAACACCAAGCTTTTGACGTTGTACAGGAAGAGATCAATGGTGGGGCTAACACAATATCAGCAACTACTTCGTAGTCTGGTTGCTGTATTTTCTGCACAACACTTTTACTATGGTGATCCAAAATCGGATTTACAAAATGTGCGACAATTGGCAGTATTAAGAACGAGCATGATTTCGATTAAGATGGATTATATCCACACAATAACTATACTCACCCACGTTTCGCGAGCATGCAATAGACGACCTATGCCTTTCATGGAATTAAAAAATGTGTACGAATCAAATCATGGGTCAAAACTGTAGTGGAAGCTCTGGACACCAGTGCCATTCCTGCTCTGCACATAATGCAAGAGTTTCCGTGTCCTTTAGAAAAGAAAAGAAGTCTGAAACATTAGTTGGTCAGTGGAATGCATACCTTCGAGTTGGTCTTCGGTACTGAATAAGCTGGAAGTGAAATGCTCGACTTCGTACGAATTTGCCACGCGGGACTTACCTACGTCGTCACAGAGAGCAATTTTAGGCTTAGGTTATAATTGTTTATAGGAATAATAGCAAAACAATATTAACAATGTGACGATATCCAGAAGAGTAACGAATAGCAATTGAGAGAGCCAAGTGAGACTGAGCGAAACACGAACTAGGATGGCTCCTAATATTCCTTGTATTACCTGTACAATGGGCGGAGTTAACCGAAGAAACTAGAGTTAATGCTACGAGGAGTTTGCAGAATCTTTCTCAGTTAGTACAATCCGATAGAACAGCTTGCACAGAGGGTTCATGAAGAGTAGGCAATAACTTATACGGAAAGTACATGTGGAAGCGGTGGAATAGCTTAAAGAATGTCTCCATGTTAAGGCGACACAAAGGCTTATACAGAAAGGTTGCCTGAAAGCGGTGGAGTACCTTGTACAAAAGCTTGTATAAAAAGTGCATGTGGAAACAGTACAAAGCCTTGCACGACATACATCGGCGATCAAAGATCAACGATAGTTGCTTCCACACCAGGTTATTGGAATTATGACGGTTCAGAGTAGTTCGTCTTAACGACAGGTACCGTTAGGGACTTGTCTTCAGTGAATGTCGCATTACAAAATGACCCGAATTTCGCAAAGGTTTAATAGGTAAACTGTGTTGCTCTTGAAGTTCTGCGAGCGAATAGAACCAATTGAACTGTTCTTACCACGCTAACTATGGGTGTACACTCTTCTGGTGGCCGCTTGAACCATTTGACGATCAACAGAGGGGTAAGTGATACAGATGACCGCACAGAGAGCATATGGTGGAATATGAAAGTACATCAGAATAGTTCACATTTGACAGTTGCTGCTGTGTTTATTTAGGTAATTTCACGACTTATTGTTCCACTGCAAAATGACTCAAAAGTATTGCAAACTAATGTTCTTGGCTGTGATGATCATTGTTTCTCGTTAGATATGTGATAGTTAGTTATACATCCATTTGGTGAGTGATAATCAATTTGTTCAGGTCGTTATGGATACCGTTGTTAATCCGCCTAAATCCGGCGACCCCTCATACAATCAATGGCTTCAGGTTTGTTAAATAAATGGTCTCTATGCTGTTTTCCATGGCATATCAATATTTCCAGGAAAAGACAGCAGTGCTTGATTCCCTCAAAAAGCGGGCCATATTAGTGAAGGAAGCGTATGGAAGTATCGAGGGAATAAAGTGCAATGAAGTTCAGGGTGCTATGTATGCATTTCCTCAGATAGAACTGCCATCACGCGCTATAGAAACTGCCAGAGTGAGTTTTTCATAGAGGGTCTTAGTTCGCTATTGATGCTACTATATGTATATATATATATATATATATATATATATATATATGATGTGATCATAGATATGTTGCCTAAACAAATGAATTTTTTCAGAGCTATTTGACATTTTCTTATTTCTATTCTTATGTCTTCTTTCAGTCTTTGAACCAAGAACCCGACTTCTTCTATGCAATGAAATTGCTTGAATCAACTGGTGTGTGCATTGTACCCGGCAGTGGATTCGGTCAGAAACAAGGCACATACCATTTCCGGTGAGTTATTCGTTGTCCTGCAGATTCTATGACTTTCGAACCAATTGAATTGATGCTTTTCAGGACGACAATTCTTCCACAGACGGAATTAATGAAGGAAATGTTGGATCGATTTAAATCATTCCACATGAAATTTTTAGAAGAATATAAATAGGCAGTTACTAGTAGTTCTACTAATCATCTCCTGTTTTCTTTATTATTTCTAATTACAAAGTTTTATTGTCTTGATAGTTGAGAACCCCGAGCAGTTTTTTCTTGCGGGATTTGAGCTCCAGATATCCAATGTCATTAAAAAGCTGCTGTGAAATTATAGAGTGATTAACACTATTCAAATAGTTGTAGTGCCATTTATTATGCTACATTGGAGAGAAAAAAGCTAATATACATTGTAATGATAGCGTAGGAATATCGACAGCAACGAAAGACAGGTCAGAACTCTAGTGATATGTGACGAATTATTCATTGTTCGTACTGACTTATATAACAGTACAAATATAACATAACAAAACTTGCAACGGATAAAACAGTTTCCACAGATCTGCACCGGATCGAGTGAGAATAGAACTGCGAGGAAGACCAGGAAGACAAGTGTCATTGGAAACCTTTTCAGTGACCTTTGTTCTTGGCTAAAAACGTCTGTTCTCCCGATTCTTTTCAGTAAAAGCCTGTAAGAAAAATCCTTGCATATTATTATGAAAGTAGTTGCTAGAAGTTCTCAACCTTCTCAGTCGTTAAGTCTTATAAGAACACGTATAGTTTTGGCCGACAATGCTGATGTACTAAGCTCAAAATCACTAAAAAGTAATAAATAAGACTGTATGTCCTTGTTTTCGATAGCTATAACAGGTTTACTGTTTAACAGGAAAGAAATATACTATTTAATACATCCAGTAAGGAAGGTACAGGCACAACACGCTAGAAGCGAAATTCTGAGATAAGAAATGTGCCGTTGAAAGTGAGAACAGCACTGATTGGAAATCAGCAGTTAGCGCAATAGGAAGATGACGGCATATCAGCATCCAGACTGACTCCTCGGCATTCTGCAATCTTTTACATTCACCTCATTTAATCATTCTTCATTTCACTTTAGGATCAGCAATTTAGTGATGGTTCCATAGAGCGACTTGGAACCGACTTTCGACCAAACAATAGATTACTGATGGCAAAAGTTTGGCTGTGTTCTGTACTCTTTAACTGCTAGGTCAAATATAGTCCTCGCTAGGAATCTTTCTCCTAATTATGGAGCTAGGGCGCGAGAAGCGCAGTGGTAGGGGCATTGCCGGACATTGCCAATGGCTGGAACCAGCTCTAGGCCAATCAAGCCCTCTATACCTTCGTACGATGAAATTGAGACAACACTTGTCTGGGAATATAAGCGCGATTCATTAACTGAATTAATACATTGGTGGATATGCATTCAGTTATCTTTGTAGTGTTTAACGGAGTCAGATGTTTGGAGCGTGTTCAGGGATTTGTCAATGTGGAACGTACTATTTGCATATATTATTAATAACGCACTTAATTTTTTATATGTCCGCTGGATGGATTACAGAATCGCTCCATGTTGTTCGCCCCTTCGGACCCACTTTTTTCTTTACAACGCCTACAACAGTAGCACGGAAAAGGATAAAGCCGTTCGTGGTTTTTATTCACAAATAAACGGGTGCTTTGATGTAGCCCTTCGGGAACGCGAACCCTATAAGTGAAAGTCCCACTAAAATCCTCCATTTTTGTCCCTACGCTTCCTTAGTTACGGGTTTTTTGTAAAAAGCGAATATGATAATTGAGCAGTTTGCTAGAAGTTTCTTAAATTTGCCGAGCCACATCCAAGTGTGACAGATAGGAAATGGAATAAATCGGTGAAAAATTGCGTAGTAAGGTGTTTGTGAAGGAAGGAGATCTTAATGAAAAAAAGTGGAATCCTGTGTTTTTGAATGAGTCAATGTCACATGTAAGGCAGTGAATAAACAATAAATACATTGGTATGAGAGCATAATGAAGTAATAATATGGTATTACCTAGACATCGTTTTCTATATACACTTAGAGTTCCTGAAGTAACTCTCCTCCATGGGACGGAACGTAAATGGCTAATGGTACTGTGCTTCATAATCCTAGCGCTTGGCAAGTTGTCAATACCAGAACATAAACCATAGTTTGTAAGTCACTGTTGCAGTCATAAGTGGTTGACGGTCAAGTGTGCTTACCTGATAGCGGAAGTCCAGACGTCTCTACACTCTGCTGTATTCGTTGCATGACCAGATCGAGAAGGCAGTCAACGGCGCGCTCCACGTTCGTTGAAGTACACGCAGACGTCTCGAAATACGGTAGTCTATAAGTTCCATGTAAATTAGGATTAGATATTTGCAACCAGATTTAAGAGAGTGAACAGGATATGGAATTTTTCCGGTGTAAGCAAGAACCACTGTAAGCAAATTTCAACATAAGGTTAATAATTATAAAGCCTCGCTAACAGTGAAGTCTTTGTTGCTAAAATCGAAATTCGGCGAAATTTCTGAGTATGAATATGTTGTTATACAACCGACTGTCTTTAATTTACACTAGATTAATGAGGTTCACCCTGCATCGTTCGATGAACCCACCCCAGCTGGTCGGCAAGCTGCTTAGCACGGGCCGTGCTGACTTGTCGTCGATTCTCGAGATCGCCTTTGTTCCCACAGATAATGATGTCCGGTGCTTCACAATAGGCGTGAACCTACAATGATAGGATAAATTGCAATTAGTCATAATGTAATTGTCTAAAGTCGTCTAAAACTGTGGTCGTTTTAGTGATAACACAACACATACCTTGTTTGATAACGATATTCTGTTTGAGAGACAGTGAGTTTAGGAAAAGCAGTAAATAAAAACTTAAAACATTGTGAATCTGATTGCAGCTTGAGTTTACCTAGGTTCAATGCCGACTTGTGAACTCCAGGTTATTCCGGTTGACGGGTGATCGACGATGGCGCCCATAGAGTTAAAGTATGTCTAAGAGAACATGAAAGGAACGGCCTTGGTTGGTGTAATGGATAGTACTGAACCTTCGGTAAGGATAATCACGGGTTCGAAGTCTACATGAGGTCGCTGGTCTTGCTCATATCTCGGCATTCTTTTGTTTAATCTGCTAATTTATTTATGTGCAGGAGGCTCAGTGTTCTAAATAGTGCTCAGTCAGCCAATCTCAGATTAATCGTGGGGATCCATCAGACAAACCTCTCACATAATTCCCAGTGTATAAGGATCAGTGATTGATTGCTTGTGCTAAAGACCTAGAAACAATGCAGCATAGCCACTTCGGAAATCTAGAAGAAGTAACGCTCAATCAAGTCATTAGAGAAAGAAGACCACAGATGTTCAAGTCATACCTGAACATATATGTGAGTTCGCCTGCCTCCACAGTTGATAGCTGCCAAGAAAGAATAAAAGACTCTCAGCGTTGATCAATCCGTGAGGGATGCGCCATGCATTATATTATCGTTGGAGGTGTTTGAATTAATATCTAGCCTCTACAATTACCCTCGGTGGCCTTTCGACGTATTGAACCAGTGCTACCATCTTCCAGATAAGTCTGGTACCAATTTTCCGACCCTGGAGGGATAGAAGTTTTGGTGAGCCTTGGGTCATACACGATGGTTGCCATACAAAGGAACAATTGGAATAAATAAATTACAAAAACAATAAATTAGAGCGCCTAATATATGTGAGAACAAGTCATTTAACTAAATGCGTGTTTTTTTTTATTGAAGAAAAACCACGGTGTTATAAACACATATATATATATATATATATGTAAGCATATATAAATTAATACCTCCCAACGGTTTAGCGCCTCATCTTGGCTTGGGAGGTGTTCCTGGGTGTCGGACTGCGATGACAGCAGAGGATTCATGCCTTGGCAGAGTCTCCCAAGCTGTGAAGGAGTCTGGCGTTTCCATCAGGAAGCCTAGCTAAGAGTAAACCAGTACCAGGATCCACCACCGTATTGGTGTCAAAGTCGCATGATGACAGTTCTCCATTTGATCCACAAGGGCTGCGACTGCTTGTGATGGTGAAGACCTGGGCAGACTTTGGCCAGGCTGACCTCGTGATTCCAGGTAGCCACAATGGCTTAAGCAGCAAATCTCCAAAAATGGAGATTACGCTGGGGCCCGCATAGCTAGTGATGACGGGCCATTTAAGTACCAAGTATCAAGTATGAATAAATATGTATGTAAATATATGCATTATATGTATATACATGTATATAAACGTATATAAATATTTCGTAATAATTTCCAGGAGAAATACAAGATGCAAGATGAAGATTGTCACTGAGTAAGGAGAGAGAACAGGAGATATTGTGTTCGGGAGAATAACCCACTATTTATGCGTCAATACAGAGCTTCGCCTCTGTCCTCCGACATAAGTGGGTGTGGTAACCGATTAAAGGAAGAGGCATTAATAATGTGATGATACCGAACTTAATTGGTGACATTTTGGAAGCTGACTAAGCAATGGTTGGGAATAATAGCACCCAGAATGCGCGAAGCCATTTTTTGAGAACTGCTGCATAATGAACGTTTCATATGTAGAACAACGAAGGGCTGCATGTACAATGATACTAGCGGTAATTAATGTTAAATCGATATTACGAACACAATACTTACTTACTTGGATACTTGAATGGCCCTTACTCACTGGTTGTGCGGGCTCCTGCATATTCTCCATTGTTCGGAGCTTTGCTGGTTTAGCCGTTGCTTTCCCATGGAGTACCGAAAGTAGCCTGACCGAAGTCTGCCCTTGGTCGTCACCACTATGGGCTGTCGCCGCCCTTGTGGATCAGAGGAAATTTGCCACCAAGGGACTAGTTTGATACCAGGGCAGTAGTGAATCTTGGTACTGGCTTACCTTTAGCTGGGCTTCCTGCTGGAAACGCTGGACTCCTTCTCAGCTCGGGAGACCCTGCCGGGAGAATGAATCCACCCACTGTACGTCGCAGCCCGACACCCAGAAACACCTCCCAGCCATGATGACGAGGTAAACCGTTGGGAGATATGGACACAATGCTCCGAATAAGTTTAATTTGCTGGTTATAACTCTATTGAGAGCTAGTTAACTGGTGAATTCACACGACTACCGTTGAATTCGTGGATGGCAAACAACCGTCTACTTGTCTGTTATTTGAACCCGCCAAATTCTGGTTGAAAAACGATAAATTTTCGACACTTAGAGGGCTTGTTTTGTTGTTAGCATACAACTTATAAAGGAGGTTTTGCTCCATAAGTCTAGAGGTGGAACGTTGTTAGTACGTGCTAAATTTTACTAGCTTCCATCCACCAAACACATTGCTGTCAGAATTTGGAGGGATTTTGCAATTTACGTAGAAAGTGTTTCGGAATTTCTTATAACCGCCCATCGCATACGAAAACCACAGCTCATCGTAATAACTGAATTTGAAAAGCATTGCATTCCTCGTCCAAGGACTGAACTTTATGTGCACTATAGAGAAGATGACAACTTTTTCCTAATACCACCCTGTAACCTTCGGTGAGACAATCAACGTAGCTCATAACTTGACGAATCGGTAAATGAGACTTTGCTTCACCATCCAAGTAAGGGCGGGAACTTTTCCAATGTGTGACTTTAATCCCAATTTCATTTAAAATTAAAGCCCCAACGAAAAATTCAATTTCTCCTTCCAGTGGTTTTTATTTCTATTTATAAAGTTCATTAAGAGTTGAGATGTTGTGGTTGAAAAGTGCAACTGTCTTCGAGTACAAAGTAGAAAGATTAATCAACAGATGCAGAAATTGGTAACAATAATGAGTCCGTGGAGTTTTCGCAATTTTTATCAAAGTAATCAGAGCCAATGTTTTATCGCTGCTGAGAAATATTCTGATATATTTATTTATGCGATCGTATAAACTGTTCTTTTTAGCTGATGCGAGGTTGGTATAAGTCCTCGTTGTCGTTGTCGTTGTTGTTGATGTTGTTTGTCGATGGCCGACGTTTCGGCGACTTCGCCTTCCTCAGAGCTTGGACGTATTTTATATTAGAATATTTTTCTTATTCGCGGAAAAAAGGTTAAGGTATTAATGAAGATCAAACTTTCAAATAGACGCCATATTGAACAGAAAGGCCACCCGCCGTGATGTTACGTGCGGGACTGGCCCACGCGTTGTTTTCGTGGAGTCGCGAGCAAGACACACCCCGGGGTCAAAATATCATTTTGAAATAGGGCGCCAGGTCACGTGTGATAGTGAGGCATTCGTCTTCGCAGTTCATCTTTGGATTTTTGAAATTTATCCAAANCCCCCCGCCGTGATGTTACGTGCGGGACTGGCCCACGCGTTGTTTTCGTGGAGTCGCGAGCAAGACACACCCCGGGGTCAAAATATCATTTTGAAATAGGGCGCCAGGTCACGTGTGATAGTGAGGCATTCGTCTTCGCAGTTCATCTTTGGATTTTTGAAATTTATCCAAAACGCCTCAAGAGTTTTGCCCGTTGATGTTTTTGATTCGCTTGAATCTCGCATCAGCTTAAGACCGGAAAGAGATCGGTCGTGGCAGTTACTACAATATGCTATTATTATTGTTATTGCTATTGATACTTACTTACTTGATATTTGAATGGTCTGTCCTCAGTGTTTGTGCGGGCCCCAGCATAATCTCCATTTTTCGGAGATTTGCTCGTTAAGCCATTATGGTTCCCTGGAGTCCCGAGGTCAGCCTGGCCAAAGTCTGTCCCAGGTCGTCACCACCAACGGTAGTCGCGGCCCTTGTGAATCAGAGTGAGATTTACCACCATGCGACTTTCATACCAGGACGGTGGTGGATCCTGGTATTGGTTTACTCTTAGCTAGGTTTCCTGATGGAAACGCCGGACTCCTTCTCAGCTTGGGAGACCCTGCCAGGAGATTGATCCCTCGCTGTACATTGCAGTCCGACACCCAGGAACACCTCCCAGCCACGATGAGGCGGTAAAACGTTTGGAGGTAATGCTATTAGTTATTAATTATTAAACATTATATAACACATACATATATGTTTGTTATTTTTATATATATATACATTTATGTTATGTTCCTCTCAACGGTTTCCCGCCTCATCGTGACTGAGAGGTGTTCCTGGTTGTCGGCCTGCCATGTAAAGCGGGAAGGTTCATCCTTCCGACAAGGTCTTCCAAGCTGAGAATGAGTCCGGCATTGCCACCAGGAAGCCTAGCTAAGAGTAAACCAATACCGAGATCTACCACCGTCCTGGAATCAAACTGGTCGCATGGTGGCAAATCTCCTTTCACATCTGAACATTATCTGGCATTTGAACCACAAGAGCGGCTACTGGTTGAGGTTGTGACCACTTGGTGAAGACTTTGAATAGGCTGACCTCGAGACTCCAAGGAACCACAACGGCTATGCCAGCAAAACTCCGAAAAATGGAAATTTTTCTGGGACCCTCACAACCAGTGAGGATGGGCCATCCAAGTATCCAAGCAAGTATGTATATATTTATGTTGCAAATTGCAAGTTGTATGTTGTAAAACAAATGTAAAGTAAAAACGTGATAAGACTTGATAAATCTCTCGAAATACAAGCTAGTTTGGATCCCGTTGATGAGCGCTTGCCATTTGTAAACCGACCCATTCCTTCCTGAGTTGCCCTTTCATCATCTTATCCTAGTGAAGAGCTCTCCTAAAGGGTCGAATCGCAGTTTCCAGGCACCTCACTGGCCATACTCTCTGTGCTGCGCACTTTCTGAGAGTAATAGTTCCTCGCCGCTAAATGACCTCGTCCAAAGAGGTTTCTTTTCGTAAATTATTCAGTGTAGAGAACAGCTTCTCACCAGCCACTCCTGATAATAGATTGTCGAGTGAGAAGCTGTCAATGGAGCACAAAAGGTGCGGTAGTGAAAACCTCGGTAAACAGCAGAAGAAGCATGACTGCAATTTGTATCACGTGGTCGTCAACGTGTTGACGATCTTCACTACGTTAATCAAACCAATCAAAACATACGTGAATGTAAAGCGTAGTCATACAACGATAAAGACTACTTTTTACGTCATAGGTGCTCTAGTGAATACTGATAGTACCTTGAGTTGTGACAGCCAGTCTCGAATGTTGAGAAAAGACTGCTCGTTGGTGATGTCGAAGATCAGGATGAAACCCATTGCGTCGCGGAAAAACGCCGTCGTCAAACTTCGAAACCTGCAAGAATAACTGCTAGTGCGTTCCAACGCTCCACAGTAATCAAGTTGGCCTGGACATGCGTAGGAAAGAGAACGTTTCTTGTTTGAAGATACTCGACAGTATGTCGTTGCGTATTTGCGTATTGTTGGCAAGCCTGATTACTTTTCCCACTCGAATTTTCTTTATAAAGAGTCATCGTATTCGTCTCATTGGCTCTAATATAACCAAGATTTAGTTCACATTTGGTCGACAATAAATTGCTCTCGAAACACCAAACACTTATTCTTGAGGGGGTCAAAAAAACCAAAAAAAAAGCAGCGTTTGGCGTCACTTAATTCTCTGCTAGGTTCTTAGTTCCCCAGGGGCACTATATACGGGTTTCTCAGCTCATTCCTCTCGACATCCCGCTGCGCTCTCACCTAATTTCCCTCCTTTTCTGCATGCTCTCCTTTCTATTTATATCATCTTTGAATATTGGCTTTACTAACCCTTTTATTTACTGTCTTTTTCTTTTTAATGGCAGGTTATGTTGTGAAATATAACTCGTATGTAATGCTGAGATATTTGCAAAACTCCGGACTGCAGGTGTATGCGGTGGGGTACGAACACGCGTTGTTGTCCTTACCGGGGAGCAGCGCACTTCACCACCACACCATCCGGGTCCTTCGTCCTGCCTGTCTCTCAGCTAGTTCTATCGATCTTTGGCTGGCTTGATTGGATGGATTGGCTTTATTGTTGCTCATATCGTGTAAATGTATATATATATATATATATATGCATACGATACAGTAAATATATGTAAATATGTATATACATACATATGTATATGCATAGATATACATAAATATATAGTATGTATATATGGTAGGGTATGGATATCGCAATGGTAGTGGCTCAAATTATCAAAAGTGCGGTACGGGTTCGACTCGCACCAGGTTCAGCAAACCTCTCATCCTCAGGATCGGGAAATTGGTACCAGATTTATCAGGAACAGTTCACTCTCTGCATTCCAACTGGGAACGCTCTGACCTGGCTATCTGAGGAGTAGAGAAAATAGAATAAACTCGATCAGCATTCAACGATACTCATGAGGAAAGGGAAATCCTCGAGCAGTAGTCGAACGTACCCACAAAGGTTGGAAGACCTCCGTCATTGATGGATGGGAGGAATCGAAATGATTGGAATAAATCCTGCGATCCGCACAATAGATGTGAATGGTGGGATATGCAAAAAATTAGTAAAAGTACATATATTTATATATATGTATATATATATACAAAGTCTTAATGCAGATATACATATACATATATATATGTATATCTGTATTAAGACTTTGTATATATATATATATATATACATAGTGTCTCAATATTATATATGTGCATATAAAGGATAAAGCTCTAGGCGTTGATCAATCCCTAAGAGATGCGCCATGCATTCGACTTCATTAAGTATCGTTGGAGGGTGACTGAATGCATATCTAACCTTTACAATGACTCGCTGTGGCCTACCGATGTATCGAGCCAGTGTTGGCATCCCCCCAGACAAATCTGGTACCAATTTGTCCACCCCGGAGGGATGGACGGCTTGGTGGGCCATGGGCGCAGGGATCGATTCTACGTGTGTCGCAGTCGCGCCTCCAACTAGTGCGCCACACGCGCACTTATATGTGCATATATATACATATATGTACATGAAGACGAGGAAAAAAATAGCGTCTTATTCTGGAAAGCTTCGGCCATTTAGTGCTGTCGTTGAAGTGTTACATCCAATAGCTGTTGCACGGTGAATTATGTTTCGTCTAATGGACAAACTGCATTCTTATTTTATCTCTTAGCATCTTAAGATGACAGCCGGACTCTCTCTCTAATTGAAGTTTTCGGAAAGCGCGACAGCATCTGCTGCTCATCTGTGTAGCGATATTTTTTGGCCATTAAGGCAAACGTTCGAGGTCGGGCAGATCATAGAAAAAGCTATTAGTTGGTGTCTAGAAATGCCGTGCTATGATCTTTGCGTGTCAGCCGCAAACTCCGTAAATGGCAAAATGGGTGCCTAGAAAAGCCGTTTTCGGTGCGAGCTAGAATTTTGAGAAACCGACTGAGGTGACTAATAGATCGCTTCGTAAATGACTGTGTATTGGAAAGGGTGACGCAGTAGAATTTCACATTCTTGAAACATCTGCGTCCCCGAAGGTTTCAGAAAAAGCACAATAGAATTTTTTGCCATAACTCTGCGAAAAATCTAGTTGTTATCCCACTGTGCGATTTTGTGTTCCCGATAGTTGTTGATTCGGTTTGGTACAAATCAGAAAAGTGGTATGAGAGATTCCTTGTTATAAAAAAGAGTATCTTTCGCTCAATACACTTCACTAGTCGTCTTTTTCACTTTGTTTTCCATTAGAACTGGAGAGGTAGATACTCGGTAGACACTTTTATTAGGTGCGAATAACACCAAGTGGAGGTCCTACCAATAGCACCATTTCCTCGGCCGCTCCTTAGACAACCCAATAATGAAGTTTATGTTAAATTCTGGATGTTTACGAATGAAACCTTCAAAGTCCTTAATCACTATCGCGCGAAAAGATACAACTCCAACCTCACTGAAGTGCAAAAACGTGGTATGCGAGAGGTACGAGAGCTGATAAGGTTGAAAAACATAAGACTATCCGTTAGTGATAAGGGTTGAGAGTTTGTTGTAATTCCCAATCAGTAAGATGTTAAGATAACGAAAAAGCATCTTGAAGATGCTTCACTTTATCGCCCATCATCTGAGAGGGAGTTCAAAAGTAGATGCCGAAAATTGAACCACGAATGGGTCAGAATGGCAAGGGCTGCTGGTTTAAAACCATCAGTTATCTCTCAACTAAAAGTTGACTTACCAGCATGTCCCGTCTTTGCTTATAAAACTTATAAATTGGCATCCATCGATGATCCTGCGTCTACCGATCCATCATTGTTTGAGGTTAGACCTATCATTAGCTATGTAGACGGGCCAACGGATAGGATAACATGGTTTTTAATCCTAATATTTACCCAGTTGTTGAAACACATTCCAGCACATCTTACGGATACCCAGAGGTTTCTGGATCGTCTACGTACTGCGCAGCCCAGCAGCGCACAAGTGATACAGTCCCTCGACGTTTCTGCCCTTTATACAAACGTGTTGAATGACTCGGTAATGCAAGCCATATTCGAACTCCTTATAAAACACGAAGGAGAAATAAACATGTATGGTTTCAAGATAGAGCAGTTGATGGCACTCTTAAAAGAATGCTTGAGCTACTCAATCTTCAGATGGTCCGGAAAGTACTACGCTCAAATAAGAGGGTTGGCAATGGGACAACGACTGGCACCAAGTCTTGCCATTGCGTTTATGTCTAAGGTGGAAGTACTGGTGCCGATCTCGGGCCGCTACTCTACTGCAGATGTATAGATGACTATTTTGTCCTTTGCTCAACACAAGAGGAAATGGAAAAATGTTTCGAGTTGTTGAATGAACAGTCAGAGTATATCAAACTCACTCGAGAGAAACCGAAAGAAAGCTGGCTTCCATTCCTGAACGTCCAAATTAACCTGTCAGAAAATGGCTACATTACGAAGTGGCACCGAAAGCCAAGTAGTAAAAACATCTTGGTTCATTACCTCTCCTCTCACCCTTCTCACACGAAAACGGCTCTTGTAAGAAAAATGTTTCGAACATCAAGCGACGTGTGTACGGGAAGAGTGCAGAGAGAGGAGCTCCGCAATTTGGCACGGCAAATAGCCATTTTTAATGGCTACGAAACCATAGCTCGGGATAGGTGTAGGGGAAATCCTAGGCCTCCAAACGACAACTCTAGCAAGAGAAAAAGGTCTCGTTTATCCTACCCTTCAACTCAAACGGTGTAAGTCCAGCTATAAAACGCTGCTTAAGAAGGGCGGGTCTAGAGAATTCGGTAACCGTAGTTGAAATGCCACCGAGTACTTTTAGGCGCCAGCTAGTTAGTAAACGCCTATATGGGCGTCCATGTGCAGCTCAAAATTGCATAATTTGCCCCTAACGGTAGACACGGTGATTGCGTGAGCTCGGGTACAGTTTATCTGACCTCCTGTAAGGCGTGCGGAGACGAATACATTGGTGAAGCGGGCAGACCCCTCTGTGTCCGCATAAAAGAACACCTAGTCGGCAAGCGTAAACCAAACACCCCACTAATTACGCATAGGACCCAGAGGCATAACGGGGAGGACTTTGAAGTACGTGTCACGATCCACGCACAGGAATTGAGAACACAAGCGCGTAAGACTCCCGAGGCGTTCTGGATTAATTCCAGAAATCCGAAAATGAACCACAGGAAAAAATGCCTTATTATTACACGTGATATAGGGCAGTATATAACCTTGGTATTCTGATGGGAAAGGTACATTACATTACGCTTCCATGTGAATCCTGTGCGGTTGGTCTCCACTCGACATACTCAGTGGAAGCCTCATAGAAAGCGGTGAATGTTCAAAGAAGCTATTCCGTGTTCAATGTGATTGAAATCTTGGTTTAGCGTTTTCTCTGTTTGGTTATGGAGGTGTTTAGCCGAATAGATTGCTGTTAACTTAACGTTTCCAGGCCCTGAGGAAGGCGAAATCCGCCGAAACATCAACTTGTTTGTGAATGAAGAATAAAATGTCATCTCGTGTTTGCTCAACAAGAATACGAAGAATTACTTTTACTAGGTTTACCGCCTCATCGTGGCTGGAAGGTGTTCTTGGGTGTCGGGCTGCGATGTACACCAGGGGGATTCATTCCTTCAGCAGAGTCTTTTGAACTAAGAAAGTGTCCGGCGTTTCCATCAGGAAGCTCAGTTGAGAGTAAACCAATACCAGGACCCACCACCATCCTGGTATCAAACTAGTCGCATGGTGGCAAATCCTCCACTGATCCACAAGGGCTGCGACTGCCGTTGGTGGTGACGACCTGGGACAGACTTTGGCCAAGCTGTCCTGGGGACTTCAGGGAACCACAAAGCCTAAACCAGCAAATCTCCGGAGAATGGAAATTATGCTGGAGTCCGCACAACCAGTGAGGACAGGCCATCCAACTATCCAAGTATCCAAGTACTTTTATGAGAACCACTGATTACAAATAATAATTCCATTATTATAATATCAGCCGCTGAGGTAAAAATTCAATATCACGGTAATCAAGTATAATGTTTTCAGAGGTCAGGAACACAGCAAGAACCATGTAAGCTGGACGAATGTCGAAATCACTGTAAGTAATCATTGTAAGAAGGAAAGAATGCGAAGGTGAATGAAGAAAAACTGGTATTTTACGCCCCGATATAAAGGAGAACTCAAGTCAAGAAAAGCATTTTCCAGCGCTGCTCTCCTAGAGTAATACTAGACAGTGACCACTGAACAATGTCGTTACAAATTGCTACAACCAGCGACCAATTAAGGAACTGTAGATCTATCTTAGCTATCGCACAATCCTGAAATGACTCCTACCACCTGTAAAAGAAAACTAGGGAACAACAGTTCAAAACTTTGGTCAGACTTTGTTCAGGTTTCTATAATACTGTAAGAAGATGATTCTGCTCGAGGAATGTGACATGAAAACAAACGAGAAAGCATATACATCTGTTGAGCTATTAGATTGCATATACAATTATTCAATTGAACTGATAACGAGCAAGAACTTCACTGATAGTGAAATTTATAAAAAGGAAAGTGATAAAAGAATCTGACATGAGCCTGCACTACCAGTGCTTCCAGAACCACTTTTGTTAGCTGAGAATTTTCTTAGCGTTAGAGCCCTCCCAGTCAAAACTCCTCTCAAAATGGCATGCTATCTGCAGCGTTCCTCATTAGAGTGTCATGGCCACACGTTGTTTCCTCAGTTGTTTGTTAGAGGAAATGAAATTGCAAGCCACTTCTTTTTAAGAAGAAATCATCACAATTGGCGACGGCGTCGAGGTGTTCGCGACGTACGCCGTTTACAACGATATACAAGGAGAATCACAAGGAATAACAACTTTCTAGCTAGGTGTGCAATAACATTACTACTCAGTACTGACTCTTTGTGTTCTGGGACGATACAGCAGTAGTTGTTGCATTGCTGTACAGAACTTTCTAAAATCGCTTGTTCCGGATCATTTTAGGGTCCTTCAAAACAACTAACACCCATTGCTTTAAACGTGTGTATACTCTTAACCGTTTTATTTACTGCCTACTCTTTTTGATGGCAGAGTATATTGCGAAATATAACCTCGATGATGTTGAGATATTTGCAAAACTCCGGACCGCAGGTGTCTGCGGTGGGGAACGAACGCGCCTTTCGCCTTTCAACTAGTTCTATCGATTTCGGCCATCAGCGATCACCCGTCAGCGGGATTCATCTAGGGAGCCCAAATCGGCAATGAATCCAGTTAAGCTAAGGCTTTAGTTATAATCACCATCTTAGCCATTTTGCGAAGGACCCGCATGGCGTGGTGGTGAACGCGTTACTCCCCGGAAAGGACAATAACGCGTTCGTTCCCTACCGCATACACTTACCGTGTATACTCTTCTACGAATTTGATGTTGGCAGAGCCTTTCAAGATTACGATTAAGATAGTACTTTGCTAGGAGGAGAGTACACTGATTGGAAATGAGGAGTGTAAAGGTGGAAGTAGAGTAGAACATGAAGAGGGATATAGTTACTCTTTGTCATATTTATAAAAATTTGCAATTCTATGCGGCTCTTAAAACTCAAACACCTTCAACTTCTATGCATTAATTAGATTAGCATGAAGTACACAACGAACTTCGTCCAGTCTCACTCGTCTTTATCGGAATCCTTATCGGGACTAATATGTCGGCATGTGCACCTTCAACTAGACCCACTACATAGAACTTCCTTGAGAAGTTTGACACCACGTCTTCGCGAATGAATAAGTATATTCTCCATTAGCAACAGAATTGTTGTAACTGTGGGAAAAGATCGGCCTGTGTAGAGTTTTTTCCGTCTTTAATTGCTCTGTGATCATTGATGAGAGAGGAAGGCAGGATTAGTTGTGTATAGAGCCTCTGCATACATGCCAGTCACGTAGATGTTGTGCATGTTCAGCAATTCATGGGTCCAACAAACAACCGAAATAGTCAAACTGCCGTGCAACTCATTCCGTCATCTTTCCATGTCACTTCGTGCTCACTATTACTTCCATTTCCAATTTTCAGGCCATACTTGTTAGTTTTCTGGAGATTCTTGCTTTTTCTTCTAGTGCAGAAATGATATGTCCCACTAAACGATAATGTCAATCGTAGATCTGTTAACTGCTTTGCTGGGACTTCACAGTCATGGTACAGCTGTTTTTGACGAAAGAACTTAACGATTGTTGTTATCTACTGTTCACGACAAGAGCAAAAAGGTCTACTAAGTACTATTAATTATTATTTAAGGAAAAACTATTTAAAATAGAGTGACGGCTAATAACTTGGGTTGCTGACATATCATTAACATTCTTAAACAAAGCGATGTAAAAAAAGAGATATACTCACCGCTCTTGGCCTGCCGTATCCCATAACTGCAGCTGAACTCGTTGTCCTCGCCCACCAAAACCACCGCGGGCACTTTTGTAGACCTGAAAGACTAGATCGTAGATTAATATGATACGCCAATGGATTCGATGATTTTAGATTTCATGAAATGGCCCAATGTTGGCATCGTACGAACATCAGTACTCATCGTGCTGGGCGAGACAAAATTAATCTTACTATCAGGGGCATTATATAGCAAACATCATAGTAAATAGTTGGATGCCAACAACGAATCGATCAAGCATCGTCGAGACCTTGCTTAATAACGGGATTCAGCCGAGAAAATGATAATGTTCTACGGAATCATGCAGAATTCATTGGTTACCGCAGCAATACCATCATGTGAGTAATATTTCGTGAGTGGTGTTAAGCGATCTTTTCTTTGTCTGGAATTACTTGGATACCTGGATACTGAGATGGCCCGTCCTCACTAGTTGTGCTTACTTACTTGATACTTGAATGGTCCGTCCTCAGTGTTTGTGCGGGCCCCAGAATAATTTCTATTGTTTGGGAGTTTTGCTGGTCTAGCCACTATGGTTTCCCGGAGTCTCAAGGTTAGCCAGGCCAAAGTGAATTTTTTATCTTTCTATACGACTGGAAATTTGAGTTAATATGTAACCAAACGATGACAGTTTGGGTAAATGTAAAAAAGTGGGTGAAAGTAATTTCAATTTCACAGGTAAACTTTAAAACAACCTATCTCAGCTTATAGCGCACTTTGTTAGTTGAAATGAAAAGAATCCACACATTGTTACTAAAAATAGATATATCCCCTTACTCCATTGCAATGTAACGTAGGCTTCCAGTGCTCGCGTAATTTTCCTTTTGGTTTTCGTCACCAGGACTTCTACTGCTCCGATAGCAAAGCGATTGATGACCTAGTTTTGTCCAGCTGCACATAACGGAATTCCCAATGCGTCTGGTGACCCATGATGGAAATTCTCCGGGAGTACTTTGACTAATGTTCTACTAAATTTAGGCGAAAATAATATGGAATAAAAATATATGCGTATTGTACATATCAGGAAGGATGAGGTTCTGTGAGTTCGAAAACTGAAGACCCCACGTACTCTTCAGTTTTCGAAAAATCAACGGTGTTCATCGAGAAACCGTAAAGTCTTTGGTTAAAACGAACCTCTAGAAACCATTAAGTGGAATGCAGTCGCCATAGAGGTGGATCCTGCTGCTCTATGCTATACCAGCTCTCAGACAAATAAGGTCGTTACCTTACTCTCTCCGAAACAACCGCATAATATTTGTGCCGGATTCGTTTAAGAAAAACAAATGGATTCATCGAAATGCTTAAATTGAATAACTGCACAGACGATAGAGTATTAGCATCAGAGAAAGCACAAAAGCACTGGTTGTTGGTGGTGCAGATTGCTAACGAGATAAGAAATTCCTCGCCACTCAACTCACCACTTTCTTCTCTTTGAAATCGATGCCAACTGTGGAAATGAACTGCCCGGTGAAAGTGTTGTCCGTGTAGCGATGCTAGAACTGACATATATAGGTGCTTAGGGAGAGGAAAATTAATTAGAGGGAAACGCAGCTTTTTGCAGTTGGTAATTTATTACAGCACATAGAAAGCGCTAATTAATATTACCTCACATCAACGAAGGCGTTGATTTTTTTGCAGATCAACACTGCCGGTAAATTAGCCAGCAGGGTAATCACTACTAAGATTGCTTGTCGCTGACTGACAAAGAAGTCGCCACATACCAGAAACGACGTCTTTCCGACTCCGGAGTCACCGAGAGCGAGGAATTTAATGAGGTAGTCGTAGTCGCCCATCGAGGATGGCCTGCCGCAGCACTGCTTCCACTTCTGGGCTGCCGTCGCCGAATCGATTTCCACACACCCACAGGCCTTCTGCACACCCACTCACAGCAACCAAGATAATTCCTGCATGGCCACGCCCTTCACCGGCCGGAAGCGGAAGCGACCGAGGATACCAGTGGCGGACACGCCTGAAGTCACTGTTGTCGACTGGCTGACGTCAAGCTGAGCCTTCGTGGACACTGGGTTTGCTGTCAGTTCCTATCCCGGAAAACGGTCCGTTTGTTCCAAAAAACGGAAACTGGTCATTGTAGACCAAATCAGGAATTCGGACAGAAGTGGATATGTTTAGGAGAACCCTATGACACGCAGGACCATACCAGAAACGTGGATGAAGAATTCAACTCTTAAATGAGTGTTTGTAGCCCATTGGTTGTTAGCAATCGCGACAAGTTCCGCCACTCCGGATACCATGACAATCACAAAGGACACATTTGCAAGTAAATGAGTAGTTGTTTGCCTATGGGATATCTTCATAAACTGCGGAAAGCGCGACATGGAATTTAAAATGTCTCAGCTCGATCCAAAAGCGCTGAAGAATTGATCGGCTGGAACGTCATAGCATTACACCTAAAAAAGTGTGGCTATGTTACTGCGAACTGGATGTTTTTCGAACGGTAAATGGACTTACATAGTTAGCATAAACGTGGCCTGACTTTTTAAAGTAATGGACGACAAAGTAGCGGTTCTGGAGAAGGTGATGTGCGGGGAACATTTGCGATACACAAACAAAAGCGTGTTAATAACGTATCGGTAGCAAGTATCCGCTCATTTAAAATAGTTAGTAAGGACGCAGTAACACGTTAGCCACTTTTGGATAGACTTGAACTGAATGCCGTGCCATGCTAAACAGTTGAAGATGTGCGCGAGAGTCTGCGAATACTGTAAGAGAGCTGCTTTGTGTTCCGCCGTAAAATACGGCTAACTGATCGTCGACGGAGTAGGTACGACCGTCCAGGTGTCCTTATTCGCCACTGCTGGATCGCAGATCCACATCCACTAAAGACGGGGCGAGTCGTTCCTGGTGACTGACTCATAATTAGATAACAGCTGTTTTTAAGCCATTCATTAGCAATTCCGCTCCTTGGTTAGTGAAAGAATCAATGCAATTTGGAAAAACGTAGTGGTGCGATGTAGTTCAGCTTAAGAGCTTCAGATATTGAGAAAAAATGGCGTTGTACCAAATGTGAATGTTGGAGCCAGGCCACCTTAAATGGTTCAACCAATTATTTGGTGAACTACTCAAAATGCTTGGTAAATTCTTATTTTCGACCATGATGTGATCGTAGTGAAATTATGTGTCGCCTCTCGCCATCCATTATAGGACCTTCAAAAATTTTTAACTGAGATATTCTGCGGAACAAAAAAGGACAACCAGAGAAATACGTGTGCTCTCCCTATGAAAAGTGATGGACATCCCTATACTCTCTTCCCAATTCTTTTCTTCACTTTTCACATCCATTTCTTCTGTCCTCAGAAGGATTTCAAGTAAAGGCGCTTTCGGTTCTGATTATTTGATTATTAAATTCTTCTTTGGACAGAGGTAGAGTAGAAGGAGTATCCCACATCTCATCAGCACAGGCACAACAGGCAAATTCTGCGAAACGCGTTTTCTCACTTGACCAAAAAATCTCGTGGGGTCAAGAATCGTAGACAAAAATGAAACATTTTTCTATTTCGCTATTTTAAAATCAACTCTTGTTTCACAAACAACGGGAACAAATTATGCAAGAACTTCTATGTGTTCTGCAGTGAAGGTCTTCGGTGTGTAGCGCAGTGGTTAGGGGTGCCTTGTAATACACACGTAGTCGCTGGTTCAATTCGACATCCTGTTTACCCGAACCCTCCATCCTTCCGGTGTGGGTAACTTGACACTATATTTGTCTACAAGGGCAGCAGCACTTGCTTAATACGCCACCGCAAACCATTATATATTCACTGTTTATTCAATCACCGATAACGATTCTCGAAGATGTTGAATGCATGGCATATCCCACAGTTAGTGGCCAACGTCCGAAGATCTATCTTTTTTCATTTGCTTCTCTTATAACTCTCGTATAACCCATTAAGCTCTCTTATTTAAATTTTTAATTCAAAGAAATCGTGAATCATTAGGGTTGATTCTTAAAAAATTTGAAAGAACTTGGAATCGCTGACATTAGTCTAATTCACTGTCAGACAACACCCCGTAATAGGCCAATTCAGGCTTGCTAACATCCAGGCACAAATCTGAAGCCAAAGGAAATTTGTCGTTATACGTCGATAGCAGGCGGCAGTGAAAGGACCCTCATTAAAATAGTATTTTGCTATAAAGCCCTGACGGCCAGCCTCAATAGCCGTTGTGAATCCAATAGAGTGGACCAGGCTAGCAATAGTAGACATATAAAGAATACGTTGGAATATATGTCTGGCCTATATAATTACTTATATTCGCCTTGCTGTCTGTCGTGTCTCTCCCGATAATATCTTGTAGGTAGAAGTCTAGTAGCAATTTCCCGGCCTAGAGGGACGAATGGCTTGACGAGCTCGGGGCGCCGTATTGAACTAAAATCCTAAGTGTTAATGTAATAGGATACCACTATGCACTGCATTACACGTGCCCAACAACGGTGAAACACCAATATTTCGCATAAATTCGACGTCATTCCAAATCCCCTTTTTATAAGGAGACAAGAAGTATTATAGACCCTTTGAGTCTAATTGTCTAATTAATTAACGGCTTTTTGTAGAAGCAGTTGTGCAACGATTTTTATTTATTTTTTTATTTTATATGGCCCGTCTTCGCGTCTACTGTGCGGATCCCAGCACTTCTCACATTGGATTCGTTTCCTCGTATCCATCGTCCACGAGGATCTTTCAACTATTACGTGTGGTTCCCAAGATCGACTTTCTATTAACCTCGGCATTGGATTATAAATCTGTCGTTCTGTTTCTTACACCAATCGCAAGGTTGTTATTCAGCACACGTATACTTTCGTCCTCATATAACATATACAACACAACGGTTGCTGACGTTTCGGCCTACCACCTTTTCAGAGCGTGAAAAGGTACACTGATATGTTAATTTATGGCGTGGATGAGGGGTTGTGCACTCATCAACCATGTGCGACTCTGGGCGGATGTTCTTCCTCGGTGGAAGGCTGGTAAAAAACAGTGGGTTTTTCGCCGTCGTGTCGACTTAATATCCATTAACAACAGTGAAATGAGGTGATGAGAGAAACTGCGAATTGTTGACATAATTTCTCTCAGCTGAATGAGCTGAATATCATCGTCTAGCTTCTAATAAGAAATGATAAGATACGAGAACTTCGCGTACTAACCGGAGCTTAGTATGCAAGCTTTCTCACCAATCGTGAGTGATTACCTCCATTGCCTTTCCGGAGCCTTTGACTGTTCTATCTGGACGTCAGAGTGCAGTCATCTTGGTTTTCTCTTTCATAGCGCTTAGATGAAGCTGCTGAATGAGCCAATCGCATCCCTCGTCGTTGTTATCAAGAACGGCAGGTCCCAGTTTATGGAGGTTTCTGGACTTCGTTTTTTTTTGATTTGGTAGGTCTTTCTCCTTTCCGCGAGAAATGAAATCTTGCATTAAAATTATGTGATCTTTTTCGTCATGGCACTCTCCACTGGGTTACTTCCATTTCCAACATTGAGAGCTGGGTTTCTGGAATTGTGAGTTATCACAAAAGGTCTTAGTCGTTGTGATAAACTTGGACAGTTGCTCACCCTGTTCGTTCCATTCTAATCTGTGAGCCCAGATATGGCGTTGTTTAAATGTTCTTCTAAGTTCTTCTCTGTGCAACTTCTTCAGTTTCATAGAAAAGACTTCGACTTCGTTTTCGTTATAACTTGATATCGGTGCTTAGATGACGAAGATCCTAACATCATCGTAGGCGTCCTATTTGGATTGCTAGCTGCTCGAACTAATCAATGCTCACGAACAAACTCGAGTTTAAGAGAACGCATACGCCGCATACTCCTCTACTGTTGCATGTTCCGAGGAACAGTTATTCTACAGTGTCATAGACGGCGTTCAAAATGGGCGATGTCCTCTCGTCTCGGCCAATCTGATGGCACTGTACCTAATCATTCTTGGAGAGTTTTGGCCAAACTGACCGTAGAATACGATCCTTATAACCCAGAACACACCCATGCATACATGCAAATGATTTTATCTTTAGCCAGAAAGCAGCCACGACAGATAAGTTGTTGGGCTCTCCCGCGGCACCGGTCTACTCTTAGCACGTCGTCAGGACGAAGCACTGGGAATACTCGACTCGAATCACTGCGGCTCAGGAAAAAAAGCGAAGGCGTTGAACCATTAGCAGAATAAACCTTCTACAACAATCCCGTATGAACTCATGGGTGTAACAAAGCAAGACCTTATGTTTCGAAATTCGAACATTTTGTACCACAGTTAAAACAAAGTAAATACACGAGTTCAACTTATAGTGCTGTTTCTTTAGTACTGATCGCTTCCATTGAATGCGACCTGTTTTTTCTATGAAGATCTCGAGGTCTTTTTGCCTTTCCTTTCGAAAAGATGACTGGTTTAAGCCTAACTGCACACAAACACTCAAAACGCCTAGAGAGTTAACAGTGTGGCTCGAGAAATTCCCTCGCTTCAAAAACAAGCGGTATCAGATAGACGGCTGGCTTTCTCCCGAAGATCGCGTTGAATGTTCGTAAGAGGGAAGAATTTGTTTAAAGGACCCAAATTAAGAGGATCATGAATCTATCTAATTGAAAAGTTTACAGCCCGACCAAGCTATGGAGCTCTTCTGTTGGTAGTGGATATATGTCTTGGATGTGTATGTATGTGGAGTCGAATGCATATGAAAGGTGCGACCTAATATTTGTCTGCAGGCGCAAGCAAATTGAGGGGATGGATTCACTGTCTTTGTTCTGATGAATTGATACATACTTTTTATACACTTGCATACATATCCAAACAT